CTCTTACAATCACCACAACTTGAACAAAATCCAGCAAGTGTCCGTTTACTCCCTGTCTACCTCAGAGATCTTGTCCGTCTGCTTCTCCTGGCTGCAACCTGTCTCCATGTAGGAATTTTCCATCCCCCCCACAAATGTAATGTCATGCAGAAGACTCAAAGGGAAAGATAAAAGGATTAGTAGATTGATCGATGGAAGATATTAATGCTCTTTCATGTTGGGTTGAGGAAGGATTTGATGTCATCAGGAGAGAGGGGAGCAGGAGAATAGACCTCAAGTATTCAAAAGGCTCCCTGGATTAAAATCCTATTAAACCCACATCGGCTTCTCTGTGAGGCATTTGAGAAGATTGGGGTTTCTTTAACATGTCACCATAATTAACCTTCCCTTAAGCTGTTTTGGGTGGAGAATTTTAGCAATTAAGAAACTGAAAACTTTCCTTTTCGATCGCCCACATGGCCTTTTGAACGGTTTAAAGACTAGAATAAAAAGTGGTTTAGCCTAATTGATTTGAGGGGTTCAGCTATCCCACTTCAACCTGCTGTCAGGCTTGCTCCAGAGATCTGAGCACCTCAATAAAAGGGCATTTTGTCCAGAGAAAGAATCAAACGTTCAGATCCACCACGATGCTTTTCTTCCTGTAATCATTGCCCCACTGAGTTCTACAGAAAAGGCCACTCTGCAAAGCATTGGCTATTTCCCCTAAAAATATCTGTTTCTGGGCCCAGACTCCTCTTCACAAAAACTACCCCAGGAACCCAAAGGGCCCATGACTCCCCACAGGTGAAACGCCAGGCATTTCATCAGTTGTATCCACAGCGGCTGTTTGGTTATGTGTAACTTAAGGTCCGAGTTCCTGGTGGTGCAAATGGTTAACACACTCAGCTGTTAACCAAAGGTTAGAGGTTCAAGTCTACCCAGTGGTGGCTTGGAAGAAAGGCCTGGTGATTAAATTCCAAAAAATCCACTGAAAACCCCATGATAAACATAACTAATGTCACTGAATTGTAAATGTGAACAATGTTGGAAAGGCAGATGATTTGTTACATGTAATGATTTGTTACAATAGGAAAAGGAGTTGGACTCTAACACATGTGGGGTCATGATGCATCTGCATCCTCTCTGGGTAACTGGTGAATGAAGATCAGGAGAAGATATCAGGTGGAGGCAGCCATTGTGGGATTGAGTAACTAACCACCCGAAGCAACAAGGATCACAAAACATGTGCTGTTTTTAAAAAGCAGCCTTAGCAGTTTTTCCAACACTAGTTACAATATCAACTCAACTTCAAATATAAACGCCCAGCCATTTTGAGCAATGAGGTGAGGAGGCTGCCAGATGCAGCATTCACCATTCACCCTTTGATGATCCCAAACAACGCTTACCCAACCTTTTAGTGAAAACATGGCTTTTCTTTTCACTTTCACAATAGCTGATTTCTTGCAGCTGAACAGTGGAACTGAGACCAAGTACCATCAGCCCTGTCTCCATTACAGCCCCTGGCACTTGACAGTACCCAACTGGCTGTCTTCATCTCCCTTGACAGACCGTGAACTCCTTAAACACAGGCAGTTTTCATCCCCTCTCTCCAGCTCCTAGCACAGTGCCTGGCACACAGCAGCACTCAACACACTGGCTCACAACTACACAAAATCTGTTCTATGCCTTAAGGCAAGTCGTAGTCTCAGTTTGTATAATGAAAACTTAAGGTGTCTTCTAGGCTACATGACTTTTGAGGTCATTCTCCAAATCTCACAATTTTTAAAAAATAAGTTGCATGGCTTTTTGGGGTCCCTGTGTGCATACCAAAGTCCCTGGGTGGTGCAAACATCTTACTCTTGACTTCTAACCTAAAGGTTGACAGTTCAAACCCATCCAGTGGCAACGTGGAAGAAGGCCTGGTAATGTGCTTCCATGAAGATTGTTGTTGTTGTTATGTGCCGTCGAGTCGGCCCCGACTCATAGCGACCCCTCCTTGGGTTTCCGAGGCAGTATCACTACGGAAGTAGGATTGCCCAACCTTCCTTCCGAGGAGTGTGCCAAGCAAACCCCAATGAGCAGGTCTACTCTGTAGCACATGGGGTCACCATGAAGGAGTTGGAATTGATTACAGAACAATGGGTTTCACTTTTTCTTTTCTTTTCTTTTTTTTTAAAAAAAAAAAAAATGCTCATGCCATTATTTACAATGATGACACTGGTAAGAATAAACCAAAAAACTCACTGCAATTGTGTCAAATCCAACTCATAGCAACCCCCACTGGGTTTCCAAGGCTGTAAATCTTTACAGAAGTGGATCACCCATCTTCCTTCCACGGAACAGCTGGTGGGTTTGGACCCCTGGTTTTCTGATTAGCCGCCAAATGCCTTATCCACTATGCCACCAGAGCTTCTTATGGTAAGACTAGCAAACATATGTTAAGCCCTTAAAGCATGCTTGCACTGCTCTTTGTGTTTTACTTGTGTTATTTCTGTCATTCTTTAAGGTGTAGCCTCTTCTTACTCCCATTATACACAGTGGGAGACTGAGAGGCTCAGAAATTTGCCCCAAGTCATACCAAGGGTGGAGTGCCCCAGCTCTGGGGTCTGGCCTCCTACCTATTCCGCTACATCCCCTCTAAGAACTTCCTGCGGGAGCCTCCAGTTTGGGTTTCCAGCCCTCCAGCTGATCTACATATGCCTTCTGGCTCCCCAGAGGCCGCCTGCCCACCCACCTGCCTGTTTACTGCTTTGATTCCCTAACCCTATGGCCCCAGCTGGCCTGGGCTCCACCTGCTCCAACCAGAGGCAGAGCTGGCCCCAGGATCCAGACGCCCTTTGTCCTGGAGGGCCTGCAGCTCCTGTTGGGAGCAGGTGGCCGGAAAAGCAGGAGAGGGCAGTCATCGGGGAAGCAGCTTGGGAGGTTGAAGGGAAACAGGGCTGATCTGAGGAGGAATTCCAAGTGCCCGCCCCCACTGACCTGAGCCCATCTGCATGGCCACCCACCCTTAGCAAGGGCAGAACTCTGGTGTGGACTTTCTCACCTTGGGTACAACCATAGAAGAATGAGGGCAAGAAATAAGGGATCTTCTAGGAAGGCCTGGAAGCTACCTTTTAGACAAGGCTACAGTGGCCTGTGTTAGGAGATGAGTCTTGTCTCATTTTATCTGAATTTGCTTTAGACCCTAAAAAGCAGCCACCTTGTTCCTCTGTAACCTTCTCAGGGTAATCAAAACCATGCCAACAACTGCATGCTATCATTTATTCAGTCCTACAGTGCACTAGACACTCTTCTAAGCATTAGTTATTATGCATGATCTCATTTAATCCTCACAAAATCCTATGGAAACCTGAGGTCAGATGGTAAAATTGGTCAGAAGTCTCAAAGCTAATAAGTAGCAGAGGTAAGGCTTGAACTGAAGTCTGCCCAACCCCAAGTCAATATGTGTCATCTCTCTACTCTACTACCCTACCATGTTTCAGGGAATATCAATGGACAACATATCAGCAAGTCATTAAGGAGGCAAGTCCAGTGTTGACCATGCCTGTGTTTACTCATTCACTCACAAATATTTGCTGAGCATCTTTGTACCAAGAAACATGCTAAGCTCTGGGGATATAAATATAGGTACGAGATTCTCCTGCTGTCAAGGAGATCATCTTCTAGTGGGAGAGAAAGATAAAGAGATAGACAATTACAATGGAAATCCCCAAAACAAAGAGACAGGAAGTCCAATCTCCAGGACTGCCATGATCTGTGAAGGACTTGAGGAAGCCAGTTGGTTAGAGGAAGATAACTAGATAACGTATCCTGACTTGATAGAATGTTTACATAGAAAGATCCAAGATCCCCTTAATCATCCCACCTCTGGAGGTAGGCACTGAGGACAAGATAATCTAGGAATGAAAATATATTAAAATTAAAAGAAAAATGCTACTACTCACATAAGAAATTATTATGAAGAATAGAGGAAATAAGTAACATCTACTAAGTGCCTAAGGAGCTCTGGTAGTGCAGTGGTTAAAGCATTTGGCTGCTAACC